TGTACCAAGCTGTGTGTTATCCACTTGGTCAGCAATTTGAAGAGGTGGGGACTCTGACAATTTCTCTGCGCACAGGTGGAAGGAATACCTGCCCAATATACCTTGGTGTTCCGATGTCGAATCGATTGTCAGAATTGAAGACAACATTACGTACTCCTTCCCTAAGACCACGGCCTTTTTCGGACGTTCAGCGATTGCGTAAGTATCGGGGGGGCAGGTTTTATTAGCAAGTCCCCCCAGTAAGGGTCTCCTGGGCTGGGAAGCTACGCAGAGTCAGGACTGCTGGAGAGCTGGAGGGGAGACCACTAAGAGATGCCAGGGGCGGTTGGAGAGAGAGAGTGAGCCTCCTGGAGAAGGCAAAAGCCCAGCACCTCAGGGGTTCTTCTCCATGTGGTCCCTAGGGATTGAACCCGAGAGAGAGAGAGAGAGAGAGAGAGAGAGAGAGAGAGAGAGAGAGAGAGAGAGAGAGAGAGAAATCGATGGATAAAGAGGATGGATGGACGGACGGACGGACGGACGGACGGACAGACAGACAGACAGATAGATAATGATGATGGATGGATGGATGGATGGATGGATAGGTAGGTAGGTAGGTAGATAGGTAGGTACGGATGGATAGGTAGGTAGGTAGGTAGGTAGGTAGGTAGGTAGGTAGGTAGGTAGGTAGATAGATAGATAGATAGATAGATAGATAGATAGATAGATAGATAGATAGATAGATAGATAGATAGATAGATAGATAGGGATGGATGGAGAGAGAGAGAGAGGGAGAGAGAGAGAGATGATATATTGATGTAGATACATAGATTAGATGATAGATACAGAGAGACAGACAGACAGATAGATAGGTAGGTAGGTAGGTAGATAGAGAGAAAGAGAGAGAGAGAGAGAGAGAGAGAGAGAGAGAGGATAGATAGAGACAGACAGATATAGCTAGATGGATGGATAAGATAGATTATAGCCAGACATGCAAAACCATGAGGTCCCTGAAAGTATGTATTTATCTACCCACCCATCCCTCCCTTCCTCCACCCATCCACCCATCGACCTATCTATCCATCCATCCATCTTTCATCCTCCATCTTTCCATCCACCCACCCATCCACTCATCAATCTTTCCATCCACCCATCCCTCCATCCATCCCACCATCCCACCGGACACCGAAGGTCTCCCGACCGAGTCCGCCAGGGGTCGCTCTCCCTCCTTCCATCTCTTTTGAGCTTCTTCCCAACCCACACTCTCCGTCTCTTCTTNCTTCTTCTTCTTCTTCTTCTTCTTCTTCTTCTTCTTCTTCTTCTTCTTCTTCTTCTTCTTCTTCTTCTTCTTCTTCTTCTTCTTCTTCTTCTTCTTCTTCTTCTTCTTCTTCTTCTTCTTCTTCTTCTTCTTCTTCTTCTTCTTCTTCTTCTTCTTCTTCTTCTTCTTCTTCTTCTTCTTCTTCTCCTTCTCCCCATCAGCCTCTTTGAGGCCAAAATGAAGGGCTTCCTGGACAGACCTTACTCCTGGGAGAAGCTGGAGGACATCCGCAAAATCTTCTGGTTCTACCACACTCCTGTCTCAGGTCAGTGAGACTTCTCTTCCTTTCACAACGATACACTCACACCTCCCACAACTCCATTCCCCAGAAACGGTAACACAACTTTGGTCAAACCAGGTCTAGCTTGTCTCTGGCAGAAGGTGTGAAGTCTGAAAATATGCAGGCTGGGGCATTCTGGGAGTGGAGGTCCACCCCTCTTAAAGCATGGCTGGCTGGGGCATTCTGGGAGTGGAAGTCCACCCATCTTAAAGCATGCTGGCTGGGGCATTCTGGGAGCAGAAGTCCACCCATATTAAAACAGGCTGGCTAGGGCATTCTGGGAGTGGAAGTCCACCCATCTTAAAGCAGGCTGGGTGGGGAATTCTGGGAGTGGAAGACCACTCCTCTTCAAGCAGGCTGGCTAGGGAATTCTGGGAGTGGAAGACCACCCATCTTAAAGCATGCTGGCTGGGGCATTCTGGGAGTGGAAGTCCACCCATCTTAAAGCATGCTGGCTGGGGCATTCTGGGAGCAGAAGTCCACCCCTATTAAAGCAGGCTGGGTGGGGAATTCTGGGAGTGGAAGACCACTCCTCTTAAAGCAGGCTGGGTGGGGCATTCTGGGAGTGGAAGACCACCCATCTTAAAGCATGCTGGCTGGGGCATTCTGGGAGTGGAAGTCCACCCATCTTAAAGCAGGCTGGGTGGGGCATTCTGGGTGCTGAAGCCCACCCACCCATTGCCCAGTGTGAGAAACACCAGTTCCAATTCATTCTGTGGGAAAAGCTCCATTGGAGGAGAATCTACCGATTGGGGAACCTAGTTGTGTTGTACTACACCCTTCATCATCCTGGGCTCCCTCCCTTGGGCCATTTTTTTTTGCAGAGTATGTCTTTAAGCACTGGAAGGACGATGCTTTCTTTGGGTACCAGTTCCTGAACGGAATCAACCCCATCAAAATCCAGAAATGCACCGCTATCCCGGAAAACTTCCCCGTGACCCAGGAAATGGTGGCAGGGACTTTGGGACGAACGACAACCCTGCAGGAAGAACTGGAGGTGATTCCTTCCCCACCCTTGTGGTCTTCTAAGGCTCAGGGACAGACACACACACACACACACACACACACACACACACCCCGCAGGTTGTGTCTCTGTGTGTGTGTGTGTGTGTCGGCGTCTCACTGTCAACAAATCCATCTTTAAAATGCTGAGCAGCTTTTGAGCAAGCACATCAACCAAGGCTGATAAAAATGGCTTATAAATACGACGTAGATCCAGTTGGTCCTCACCTTACGACTACAATTGAGCCCAAACTTCCCTTTGCTAAGCCGGACAGCTGACTTTGCCTGTCAGGAGGTCACAAAAGGCGATCATGTGACACACACACACACATACACCTGGGCCACGGCGACCGTCATAAATATGAGCCAGTTGCCAAGCGTCCGAATTCTGATCCGGTGACCGCGGGGGGATGCTGATGGCCGTAAATGTGAAAAACGGGTCAATTTAAGTCACCTTTTTTCGATGGCCCTGCAAATTCAAAAGGTCACACCCACAAAAAAACACCCGGTTGTAAGTCGAGGAATTCTCTGTGCTGCTCTTGGTGTGCGACTTTCACAACACCTCTTTTTTTTTCTTGAGATATGTCGCTCGCAAACAAACAAAACACTTTCTTGTGCATCTCTTTTAACCCAATCAAACGAGGCGCCGATCCGTTTGTTATCCCCAAAAGGTGCTTTTTTTTTCAGGAGGCAACTGGTGCTTTTTTTGTTTTTCCTTTGAAGATGTTTCGCTTCTCATCCCAGAAGCTTCTTCGGCTCTGACTGGACGGTGGGGCATGGAAGGATTTATACTCCTTGCAGAGAGCTGGTCATCTGCCTTCTTTTAGAGGGTCGTTGAGGCCACCTGGAGGTTTACCTGTGTCCTCAGAGTCACCTGAGTGGTGCAAATCACATCCTCTATCTCCAGTCTACAATACAGTCCTGTCAGCAGTTCCAAGAAGGCTCCATGCCTCATTTGCACCACTCAAGTGAATAGAATAGAATAGAATAGAATAGAATAGAATAGAATAGAATAGAATAGAATAGAATATAGAATGCAATAAGAATAGAATAGAATATGGAATGGAATAAGAATAGAATGGAATAGAACAGAACAGAACAGAATAGAATAGAATAGAAAATATGAGATGGGAATAGAATAGAATAGAATAGAATTAGGGTTGCCAGGTGTCCACTATTTGAGCGGACAGTCCACTTTTTTCACATTATGTTCACTATCTTTTTTCACAAAATAGTGGACATTTTTTTTATTCAAAAGCTTTATGATGAAATGGTACGTAATCTAAAGCTGTACAGTCTACTTTTTTTACTACTTAACCCCCCCCCCCCGCTTGTCCGCTATTTTTTGGAAGCAGACCTGGCAACCCTAAATAGAATAGAATAGAATAGAATAGAATAGAATAGAATAGAATAGAATAGAAAATATGAAATGAGAATAGAATAGAATAGAATAGAATAGAATAGAATAGAATAGAATAGAATAGAATAGAATAGAATAGAAGGGGCCTTGGAGGTCTTCTAGTCCAGCCCCCTGCTCAAGCAGGAGAATCTATACTGTCTCAGATAAGTGAATGTCTAGCGCTTTTCTTGAAAACCTCCAGTGATGGAGCGCCCACAATTTCTGGAGGCAAGCTGTTCCACTGGTTAATTGTCCTCACTGTCAGGAAGTTTCTCCTTGATTCCAGGTTGCTTCTTTCCTTGATCAGTTTCCATCCATTCCCTCTGGTGCTCTGGAGAATAAGCTGACACCCCCCCTCTTCTTTGGGGCAGCCCCTCAAATACTGGAATACTGCTACTTTTTATTTTTATTTTATAGAAAGGAACCATCTACCTGGTGGACTACAAGATCCTGGACAACGTCCCCACTACTTTTTTAAACAACCAGAAGCAATATATCGCTGCTCCTATCTGTCTGCTCCACCAAAAACCCAGCGGAGAAATTCTCCCTCTGGCTATCCAGGTAAGTCCATCATTTTTAAAGAACCCATCAAGTAAAGGCAGGACTCTTCCAACTTGGCCCTTTGATGACTTGTGGACTTCAACTCCCAGAATTCCTCAGCCAGGCACACTTGTGGTCATAAAAGGGCCATAGTTCCCTCACACTGGCTGAGGAATTCTGGGAGTTGAAGTCCACAAGTAATCAAAGGGCCAAGTTGGAAGACCCCTGCTTGTGGACTTCAACTCCCAGAATTCCTCAGCCAGCGTGAGGGAACTATGGCCCCTTCATGACTTGTGGACTTCAACTCCCAGAATTCCTCAGCCAGCGTGAGGGAACTATGACCCTCTGATGACTTGTGGACTTCAACTCCCAGAATTCCTCAGCCAGCGTGAGGGAACTATGGTCCCTTCATGACTTGTGGACTTCAACTCCCAGAATTCCTCAGCCAGCGTGAGGGAACTATGGCCCTTTGATGACTTGTGGACTTCAACTCCCAGAATTCCTCAGCCAGCGTGAGGGAACTATGGCCCCTTCGATGACTTGTGGACTTCAATTCCCAGAATTCCTCATCCAGCGTGAGGGAACTATGACCCTTTGATGACTTGTGGACTTCAACTCCCAGAATTCCTCAGCCAGCGTGCCTGGCTGAGGGATTCTGGGAGTTGAGCAGGGGTCTTCCAACTTGGCC